ATTGCTGGGGTGAACATGTCATGCGCTTCTGAGCAGGCCATGATGCGCAGCGGGCCATCCGTCACTTCTCTCGGCCGATGCAACTCGCACTTTGGGTTGCTTGCGGACGTCGCTGAGCGTCAATCCTTCGCCAGCCAGCCTGTCGCGCCGCACGCTACGATGAGCAAATTGCCCCATGCGGATGACATGCCACAGCTGATTGAGGCAGGTTTCTAGGGCTCTGTGCCGAGTATGGGCGCAAATGAGCCTAATGGAACAAGAGCTCTCCAAACCAGGAAATCAGCTTCCTAGCGGCACCTGGGACTACCCCTACACCCTTTTCGAATCCCTCGAGTTATCAAGCAGACTGTTCACTGTCCAGATGCCAAACACCAACCAAACAGCGTCTCAGGGTTCCACGCACTCCCGTCTCCAGAATGCAGTGCAGGACACCGAGTACGTACCCGCACACTACTCATTAGAAGCGCTGCGATGCAATGCGCAATGCAAAGGTGTCCAACGAGCCGACGTCCAGGCCGTTGCGCTGTGGGTAGTGCTTGCTCACCAAGGACCGGAAGCCTTACGCGCAGACCTTGTTCCAACCAGGCCAGCGGGGGCGTGACAAGTTGACGTTGGAAAGCAGCCGTCTCTCGACTTGAGCATCATCCAGCTGAAAGCAGCCAACGCGGAGGGCCATTGGCGGACGTGAAGAGAACGGAAAGCAGACAAAGACAAGCCGAGGTCCTCGATACCGCTAGTCGCGGTAAGCAGCAGGGGCGCAATTTTGTGCCTTACACACTGGTCGCACTGGGCGCTTTCCCGATCATTCATTCCCCCATGATCCCAATCAACAGGCCGGCAGCAGACCCACCTGGCCCAGGAATCATTAATTATTCGTTGGCGCGTTCGTTCAATATTGTGCGGTGCCTCCTCGTGTCTCTCGCGGTCGAGGCCATAGGGGCTCCTCTCTAGAGTGGTTCGGTCATTTTGTTTGGCTGGACATTTTTTTCTCCCATTGTCGTTGGTCCCCTCTTTACGGGAGCAGGCCCTTCGGTCTATCGCGCTGCCATTGAAGCCACAACGCCAACCACTCGGGGACAGTCGCTGCTATGACCACCGTTTACGAGTCGCCATGGTGCATACTGTGTTACACTGTACCCATACCACGATCGCTTATTTCCCATGGATGCCACTGGTAGTCTGGCCCTGGGATTGAGGAGCTAAAAATGAGGGGCAATGAGTGAGTGCGAGACACAGAGAACCGGTGGTTGGAGTTGGAGCCGTCGTGGATGCCTTTCTTCTGCTGACGTGACTGACATGCTCGCCGGCAGAGACAGGGACTGTCCCCGGAACCAAGTCGACGACAGATGGGCGGCGCCGTCATGGTTCAGCGCATGGCGGCCAAAGCCATTGGAAAGGCAAAGCCACGAACGCGACCGCAAGCGAGAGAAGCCAAAAGGAAGGCGTTGACAGCGCCAGTGCGAATGTTCTAGGTTCTGACAGGACGTCGACCTCTGTCGTCAACCCTCTGCCTTGCGTTAGCCCGATACTCGAGGAGAGCAGTTTCGAGACACAGGGAACAGATCCAAAACCGGACAAGTCAGGTACGTTTCCTGCACACGGTCCTTGAGAGCTCGAGCTGCCCGGCACGAACCAGGAGACAGGAAGGTTGAGGAAAAGGGAAAAGAAAGAAAAGACAAGATTCAACGCGTCAAATCGACGACCCCTTGTTCATCGCGACGGTTGCACCGCGTTTGCCTGCCCGCCCCCTTTTCAGGAAAATTCTACATGACATAGGTGACCCTGTAAATGCCTCTGAATCTAACTGTACAGATAGACATGCAATATTGCTCAGTGCCGTACCTACCTAAGGTATTTACATGTACGTACCGCAGCCAACTGCCCTACCTGTGCGCGCATCGGCGAGACATGGGAGAGTCAAGCTGCAGTAGGTACGAATGCTGCGCACGCCGCAAGTCATGAATGAGTGCGGAAACAACCTAACCTTCGATGTCCACGGGCCAAAGACCATGGGCGTGGGAAACTCCCCAAAATCCGCGTCCAGAAATCCAGCCAGCCTAGGGCCGCGCGAGTCTGGTCCGGTCGGCCGCGACCTGACCGACATGCCCCACAGCCATGGCGGGACGCAACCTAACAGTGTCAATTGGCAGGGCATGCCATCGCTTGGCGTCTATCGGGGACGGGGACTACAACTGGGGCTGGTGCTGGGGGTTTCTCTGGCATCGTATTGCTCAGAAGTTGAGTTATCTACTTGTACCTATGTGCTGAGGATACAGATGCGAGGCGCGAGAGTTGGGCCTGGTGTTGCTCAAGGCATCTCAATGCCGTTTTGGAGGCGCCGAATGACCAATACACGACGGGAAAGACCATGATGTATTTATGATAAAGTGTGGAAGAGAACGAGGCGAGAAAGATGAGGTCAAGTTTTGGCACGGCGGGCGGTACATGATGGGTAAGGCAAGGCAAAATACATATTGGATGCGGGTGGTGCTGCCGCGCTGCCGGTACTGATACGTGCGGATGCAGATGCGGATAGTCGAGATACTGACTGATAGCGATTGTTACTGATGCTGATTCGCAGTGCTCTCTGTACCTTGGGCGAATGCCTGTACTGCGTACTTGCGCTTGAGCTGGGAGAAAACCTTCTTAGCTGCAGGTGGGCGTGGGCTAGTATCTCTCCTCATCTCTCGTCCCTCAGCAGGCTGCTGGGGGGCCCTGGAAAGACAAGAGGAGTACAGATACTCTGTGCTTTGCTGATGGTTGGTGAAGATTAAACGCGACCGTTGTCGAGACTTTGCTAGTATTCCGTCAAAGCAGGCATGGCGAAGGGGGCGAGAGAAGACGCCTGCCGGATGAACGAGCCTAAATAGGAGCAGGAGGCAGGTGTTGATGGGGGAAGGAAAGGGCTGAAGAAATTCAGAGCTGAGACCTGAGGGACAGCGGAAAGAAACTCGGGATGGACTGTGATGTGAACGAGAGAAGGGAAAGGTACTTGGGAGGTCGTCACTTTGTGGAAGGACCCACTCTCCTCTTTCGACACCACATCACCTTCTCGACCAACCCCGTTCGCTCGTCTGGTTCTGCTGGGAAGGTTCCCTATGTACGTACTTAGTCTTCGTACATGCGCTTCCCTGGACATCTCCCCGCCGCCGTTGTCTGCGTCCGTGGTGTAGCCCTTCCGTCGATGTTGTCTTGTTTCGGACTCAATTGTCTATTCGCTCTTGCGGTTTTTGGATCACAGATGCCCACTGCTCCTTCCATCAGCTTATTGTATCCGTTGATTGAAATGTGATTAGATAAGCTGGAGATAGAGTGACCTGAGGAAGGAGACCACGGCAGCATCCCGGAAGACAGGCACCAGAAAAGCAGGAGCGAGAGGGAAGCAAAAGAGAAAGGAAGGGGAAAAAAAAAAAGTACGGATACGCACATCCCATCCGCCTATCCCATCCCACCACCTCTTACCTAGCCAAAGGTACCTGACCCCAGGCACCCTCACCATAACCACCATCATCTCAGTTTCTTCATCCACCCATTCAACATCCATCACAACCACCCCTCCCACACCCACCCCCTTCGAGGCCAGGTATCTTGTATCGCGCACTGTACGCTACAACCTAGCTAGCACTCGACACCCTGGTCTCTCCCCCAAGGCCCCCCGTCGCGACTCTGAGGTCTCCGTGAGGTAGAGTCCCAGAGCCCAAGACCGCCACCCCCCCGCCTTTCGTTTTTCCTTAAACTGTCTGGTCGTGGCCGCAGCCCGTGCTACCACCTCACTATCCTCTTTTCATTCACTCCGCAGTCCCCTTCGCCTTATTCTCAATCGAGCTTCTTCCCCAACTGACACTTGTTGCTTGTTTTTTGAGCAGCAGGGGAAACTACTTGACAGCCAGAAGCGTCTACCGATACGCATCGACCACCGACGAGAGGAAGAAAAAGAGACGCCAGTATCAGCGGCATTTCTCTCGATTTTGACCCTTTATTCTGCGTCAAGCCAAACCCGTTCATCGGTTTAGTGCAAAGGCAATCACAAAAAAAAAGAAGGACCATTGCAGCACATTCCCGGACGTGTTGTACCCATCTCAATCTGCCAGGCTCCCAAGGCACATCATCACCCTCGATCTCAGCTCACTCACCCGTGGCCCCCCAACCCAAACTCCGACCCGAAGAGCCAGTACCCAGTCCCAGGTTCCTCGAGTCGCGTTTTTCCTTTTTTCTGCGCGCCCACCCACCCTCCAATCCACTCGAGCGCACCCGCAGAACCGCAGACCAACACCACACAAACCAAACCCGCTCGGCTCATAACCCGCACCGCAGCCCAGTTCGTTTCGCAAGGCCAAGCCTCTCTCCCACCTTACCTCCTTGCCTTGCTTCGTACCCGCGAACCAGAACCGCGACCACCACTTACCCTTTTTAAACACCACCACCCCATCCTTCAACCACACGGCGCGCCTGTCAAAAAAGATAGTCCATCTCGACTACCGCCGACCTAGACAACTTCTGTTCCTTCGCTGCCCCGACAAGCACAAGCGCATGCCAGGCACGGCAGCCCCAAAAGTCAAACAAAGCAAATAAAAAAATTAAATCAGCAAATTCCTCGCTTCCGTTGGTCGGCAAAAAACGCACTACACGCACTACCCACCTGCTGCCACCACTACCCGAGCAACCTACACCTGCCTTTCCCGGTTCTGGTTTTGGCTCTTCGCCCTACTTCCTTCCTGTCCTTCCTCTCTACCTACCATCCTTCCACCTGCCACCACCCTCCACCACTCGCAAGGCACCAACCACCACAAGGCCACCGCAACCGCTCTGCACCAGACTCGATACAGGTTACGTCCCGTCCCGACCTGGTTTCTTCTGCGACAGAATCAAGCTACACACAACAACAGCCCTTGACTCCTGATCAAGTATAGATCAATCGGCACCACGCTCAAAGCAGCATCTCCACCGTTATTTTACTTTTTACTGCCTCGTGATACCATCCGACAATCACAAAGTCCACAATGGCCGACATCACCGATCAACACGACCAGACCTCGCCCACCGACCTCGACGAGTCCCAGGTTGGCAACGGCAACGCTGCCGAGAACAGAGGCGTCAAGCGCCAGCGTCCCAGCACCGCTGACGACGAAGACGATGATGACGACAAGGGCGGTCGCGAGCGTCGCAAGATTGAGATCAAGTTCATCAACGACAAGTCTCGTCGTCACATCACCTTCTCCAAGCGCAAAGCTGGTATTATGAAAAAGGCAAGTACCCGTCGCATTCCTCCACACGCCTGTTCGTTATCATCATCACACTTTGCCTGGCCGCATGCAAACCATCGTACTCGACGCATCAATTGCTAACTTGACGCGTTTCCCAGGCCTACGAACTCTCTGTCCTCACCGGTACTCAGGTCCTGCTTCTCGTCGTCTCAGAGACTGGTCTGGTTTACACTTTCACGACACCAAAGCTGCAGCCTCTCGTCACCAAGGCTGAGGGCAAGAACTTGATCCAGGTATGGCTTCTCCCCGTTTTCAATCTGGGGTGTGGACCTTGAGGGCTAACTCGTGATACAGGCATGCCTGAACGCTCCCGAACCCTCTCAGGGTGGTGAGAACGGCGTCGACGACTCAAACCAGGTCGACTCTCCCGAAGAGCCTCCTCAGCAACAACTTCCTCCCCAACGCCAGGGCATGCCCCATAACCCTCACATGCCCCCCAACTACGGCATGCCCGTCGGTGGCATGGACCCTTCGCAAGCGCTCGCCTACCAGAGCTATGTTCAGCAACAACAACGGGGTGGCGGCTACGCGATGCCTCCGTCTGGTCTGCCCCAGCACACGTCGCACCAGTCATGATAGCCAACAACAACACCATGACCAATGCATTTCTCGTTGATACCTGACATCCTCTGCATTCTGGAGACCTCGCTCGTCGGCACCGGACATGGTCGGCTTTTTTTTTTACTCAAACCCGAGGCTCTGGCGGTTTGGCGTTAAAGTTCGGTGTTACCACTTGCTGCATCTCGTTCCACTACGTTTCTTTTATTTCCCTTGCTCCCGATTTCCCCTACTTCGATTCCGTCGCCAGTGCGCGGTAGTCTGAAGTCCTCGGCCAATGACCACAGCAGCAGGCTTTGGCATTAAACGAGGATCAGAGACTTCTGCGCACTGTCCTTATTACGGAGCGAGACCTAATGCTATCTTGTGGTGGACACCTGGGAGGATGTGACGAGAACACGGCAACATGGATCACACTCGATGAGAGAGAAGTCATGACGGACGGACAGGCATTGCGCAGGCGGTCTCGTTGAACACAAAACATATTTGTGCCGTGGGCCTTTTCTTTCTGATGCTGGCTCCAGACGGGAGGTTGGAAGCGTGGCGCGTTAGTTTGTATGGCGGTGCTAGCCAAGTTTTTCTCTCTTTCGTTTATGCGGGTGAGGATGTTCGCGTGGTCTGCCCTTGAGAAGGGGTAGGGAAGGAGATTCGGGGGCGGGTGGATTAGGTTTTTTCAAGCATGAGAGCATGATATCTCACGGCTGGGGCAGGCACGTTTTCCTGGAATGGGACTCTGATGATTTCTGTCGTGGATCATGAGCCAAGACGCGCGCGACTTCCTCTTTTTTTCTTCTTGTTATTCTTCCACAAAACCTCCCCTGAGGATTTTCGTAGGACTCGGCTTCGATACCCCGGCCCTGGGCAAATCAACAAAACAACTATACATTCACGTACACACACTATGTCTGTATTCTTACTCTCTGTCTTGAGAGAAAAGACCTTGCCTCTATCGCCCTTCCGCGCCCGAATTGCTTTTGGAGTCAGATGAGATATGCCCTGGGAAACAAGACGAGAGAGACGAGCTGCTTCGGAAAAGGGAAAACGAATCATGATGCGGACAAGAGGGAGGGGAGGACCGGGCCACCGGAGATGGGGTGGAATCAGTCGAATTGTATGATAGCACTGGACTTCCTTGACATTTTGCGCGGCTTTCTTTCTGTTACTAGAAAGCCAGGGCCTGGCCTGACGAAACTGCTAATCACTTTCACGTCTTCACGATGTCGCCTATTTCTGCTCTCTCCGCCGTCTATGAAGTATTTCGTCTACAGTGCTCAACCCCCCAGTCTGCGAGTAAACGAGTAAGCGAGGAAACGGCCCGTGAAACAAGTCGGCGGTATCCTTACAAATCAGCACCGCCAATCATTCGCCGTCTTAGGAACCTTGCCGTTTGCGGAAGGGGAGGTAGGCAGGTAGGTGTGGCGAGCGCTGGTGGTGGTGGTGGCCGTCATGGTGACATGACAAGTGACTGAACTCTAACGGAGTGATGCGAGACACTGTGAGCTTCCTCAAGGGCGGGTTCACTGCAATTAAGATTTTTTCTTGGGATGATTCGTTGTGTGCAGTGTGGACGTATCTTCTAAAATCCATGTTGCGTCGATATCCCTTTGTCGTTGTATGTTTTTTTTGTTTTCTCCCTGGAATTACCGTATTTATCCAAACATCGGGGGTTGGGCCGGACTTACCTCACGGAGAGAATGCAGCATCCACATGCGAACCTGCTCTGAGCGAGTACGGTGCGGGCGGGCGGACGGGCTGATGTCGTCGGATTAGGAGGGAAGTAAATAACATTGTAAGCCACCAGGATTTCCTCAGCAGGTAAGGCGAGGTCTTCCGCGCCCAATTAGTAAAAAGAAGTCATCCTCGCTCGGGCCTGGGCTGATCGGGTCGAATGCAAGGGCAGCTACAGCTGAGAAAGTCGAATGCTGCTTTTGGCTGTCTGGCGGATTGTGATTCGGCGGCTGGGAGGCCCGCCCGCCGCGCCGGCCTTCCGCTGCGACTGGACCGCTGTCAGTGGTAGGAAGGGTTAGACTCAGCGGTTTGGCTGTGGACCTGACAACCCTGGGGGGAGCCTAATATCAGCGGCCACTATCCGGGGCGCACTGCTGCCCGTAGTGCTGGTGCTGCCGCCAGTGTCTGCAATGCATGTCCGCACGGCGGGCAGCGGGGTAACTGGTAGCACCTGGGTACGGATGCTTCCAGGTGCCTTTTGGCGGGCTGACTGTCTTTCAGCTGAGGTGGTGATCAATTGTGTTTTTTTGTGTATGGATACGGCTGCTAAATCGACTGCGGCTGCGACGATGACTTGGCGTGGATCGTGTCAAGGAAAAATCACATGTGTTTTATCTGAAGCTTCATTTTGCGCTTTCTTTTTTTTTTTTTTTTGCTCGTCGCGTCTCTTAGCGGGGTAGGGAACGCGTTTCCATTTCGGTGAAGCTGTCGATGGTGGGGAAGGTCCTGCCTGGATTGGGACAAGATGCAGGGACAGCTCGTTGCCTTTTTGGGCCTGGTGGGCTTGATGACATTCGCAGCCGCTTTTGACGGGCGCCTTGAGCATAATTTGTTTGGTGTATTTGAAAAGTCACAGCAGTCATATTCTTCTGTGTCAAGCCTGGCCGACCTTTGCGCAAAATCTGTAGGTCAGTTTGTATGTCGTGATGCCTTTCGACGAGGCTACAGCTGTGGTCATGGGAGATGCCATTGGCAGCAGCACCGCTAAGGAGGAAGCACCGGCCAGAAGATAGTCCCCGTGAGCAAGGATGACCAAGAGCGAGGTTGATTTTGAGTTGCGGTTTTTGCGACTTTTCGGGCCTACGCAAAGGCTATCCTGCCGAGTTCCAAGGATATATCTCCTTGATCGGATACTGCTCCCGAGGTCGTCGTATCGCCCTTACTGAGTGGCCTTCAGTAAGTAATCAAGACTGACAATGGATGGTTCGTTCTCTGTTTTGACTGTTGACAACTCCAAACACTTCCCATGCCCAGTTCACCTGTCAGACTGCGATCATGAGCCAGTAGGAACGAACAACGGAAGTCGCTTTAACGCTCCCCGGAGCCCGTCGGACTCTGCGTATCATGCGCCGCCCTTCCGACGTTTGAAATAACGGCGTCCGCGCGCTGCTCTCCGGATGGTTGGGCTACATTCTCCACCGACGTTTGTCTAGCAATTCAGCCTCACGCCCGGGTCCTTGTCCTTTCCGGACAACCACGAACTCTGCATCATCCCAACGCCAGCCGCTGGAGTCGGACAGCATCGTGGAGGCCCACATTCGCCCGAGGTCCGTTGATGAGAGATATGTACCACACAGTGCTCGGAATTGCCGTGTCATTCCCTCGCTTTTTTGTTTTTCTGACACGAACAAATCCGTCGGGTTTGGGGACCTGTCATACAGCCGTCAGAAACATTTAAGGTCTAGTCGACGTCGACATTTCCATCGTCCGGTGTTCTATCCCAAGACCCGTGAAGCCAGTCGACGAGCGGCAACGCGGTTGATTCTGAACAGGCAAGGTTCAGCCAACCTCCAGGTCACCAGTCAGACCCAAATTACACCGCAAATAGCAGCGAAGTTGGCTGAGAAGCTTCTTTAGAACTGCGCCAACAATCTTCTCATGAGTTGCCTTTCGGTTTTTCTGACACCGACACAGGCGGCGACGACGTCTACTGCGGTACACTCTCGTGGCCCAGCCATTCATAGCCCTAGCATGGAGAGGGGATCTTGGGACAGCATCACTCGTATGCTTGCTGTACGCCACGTGGAACTTTCCGAACTCGTTCGTGGATTGGCCAACCGCGTGGTTTGGGTGGCAGCCAGCGTCGGGGCAGTGAAACTTCGAAGTGCTATTCGCACAGGTGGTTCAGATGAAACGAGCAGAAACAAGCTCTCTGGACAGACGGGCCCTTTGAAAGTGCGGCAATCAAGACCTCCCACGGCGTGATCGGGGGTTGCGCCTGGTCCGGGTGACGTTGCCCTCAGGCCCCACGACTCGGAGGTTCGGAAGTTGTGGAGGGAGGATGCTTGCTTGTCGACAATCGCAACGTATCCGTACTCGTGAGGATGTGGACATGTGAAAGAATCGACGATATCGGAATATCATACCCAGGGCGCCCGAGTAACGTGATCCAGGAGCAGACCAAGTGTTTATCCAAATGCCTAGCGTAGATCTTATCGTGGACGATGGGCAGATTTCCCCAAACACATTAGCTTCTGGTCATCGTCTGTGCAACCTGCAGCAGTGAGTGGGCGCTGGGCAGGGTCCTGGCTGATGCAATCGACAGCTAACCTAATAATCCGTGTTTGTTTGCCAACACTGGTGGTGTTTACATGTCAGTCCCGTGGAGCGAGCGGCTCACTTATTGTCCGGTTCGACCACAGTGGAAATGTATCACATGAAGAATGGATGGCCTGGCGAGGTGGCACTAGTATGTCTCGATTGGTGAGGAAGCGCAATTGGGAAAGGGCTGAGGGGATTTGAGAAGGTTTCTGCACGGACCATTTGCTAGCCCCAGCGGGTTTGTACATTCTACATTCGGCACTATCACTTGCAGGAGGGCAGGAACACCACGCCAGGCATTTGGGGACCAAAACTCGCGACGGCTTCATATCATAGCTGCCAGGTTGGCAGTACCACCGTCACAGCAGTATGTAGTCGTGCTATTTACAGCACCTCTCAACGAATGTCATCTACTAGCCACGGGCTGCCTAGAGGCTCCCTTGACAAGGACCCAAAAGAAAAAAAATCCCAAAATGTCTGAAGGTTTGTTGCAGGTTAAGCTGGTTGGTAACTGTCCGTACTCGTGGTCGCATAACTCGTTTCCATCTTTTCAGCATCCACGACCGCTGGAGGGTTGCCGCGGAAGAAGATCTCGTCAGCCTGTCAACCAGGCTGCAGCCGGTCATGTCCGCCGCAAAGTCGTCGCAATTCGGGGTGGCCTAGTGCTCGCCCATGGTGGCAAACCGGCCAACAGCGAGACTGCCCAGGAAGACACCGCCGAGAACCGAGAGAAGGTAGCCAACATTCAT